GAGTGTTTACAAATCATTGACCTTTGTGAAACTGAAGCTCCTTGTTCTCTGCTTAGGTAGTTTTAGCAGCTCGTATGCCATATATCACAGCATCTTCATTTACATGCACCCATTTTAGCATGGCTGCAGGATGATGCCTTTGGTGACTGGTGCCAGCTATTTCCCCATCCTCCATCCCCAGCAGGTGAATATCATCAACTTCTAGACTACTTTTTCCCCACCACGAAATTGCATTTGCAAAGACCTTGAAAATCACAACTTCTGCTGAGGCCTGGAGGGGTAGGAAAGGCAGTCAGTAGCTTCTGTCATGACCTTAGTGATAACAGATTATGTCTGAGCCAGGCACCGTATTAGCAGCTGGCTCTGAATAGCTACCGGTGTGCCGCGTTGGGTTTCCCTGGCACGCTGGCTTTGTGTAGCACCTACCGTCTGAACTGAATCGGATGCAGTGGAAATCGTTTGCTAATTAATTACTGTCTCCTGGATCCCGCTGCTTCTGTGTGTTATGCAATTTGCAATATGCATATGACCCTTTGGAGCACTGGACACATCGGCAGATGCTGCACTAAGTATCATAAAACCTATTGCTCCCAGAGAAGATGGGGGCAAAAAAAGCCCAGCAAGCTGCACGTCGGGGAAAAAGAAGCAATCTCAGCCTGGTGTACGTGACATTTCATTCCCATGTCCCTTGGATCAATTCCAGGCAGAAATTTCAAATTCATTAGCTCTTCACATGACCTCAATTTGTTGCTAGAACCGGTGGGTGGTCATTTATTTTCATAGCCTGCTGCCGATCGGGGCCCTTTGAGGCGTGCGCGGGCGCTGCCGCTCGCCCCGCAGTGCAGCGCCCCGGTGGTGCTGGGCTCTGGAGCAGCAGTGCCCCGTACGGGCAGGGTCACTCCGGCCGTGCCTCTGTGCCAGACCTCGCCTGGCAAAACCCTGCAGAGGTTTCTGATTCGGGTCTGACTCCTCGGGAAGTCCTGGACAGCTGGGTCCGCGTGTGCCCAGGGGAGCGCCGGGGCTGCTGGGGTCTGCTGTCCTCGGAGGAGAGGTGGCTCCTGATGGCGGTGGTGTGGATTCCTGCCCCTGTGCGCCAGGGGAGGTTTAGGTTGGACCTGTCGGAGGGGGACGGCTCACTGGCACCGAGCCAGGCACTGGCACCCCTCTCCCACCCCTTCCAAGACAATCATAGAATCATGGAATAGTTAAGGTTGGGAAAGACCTTTAAGATCATCAAGTCCAACCGTTAACCCAGCACTGCCAAGTCCACCGCTAAACCATGTCCCTCAGCACCACATCTCCCTGGCTTTTAAATACCTCCAGGGATGGGGACTCAGCCCCTGCCCTGGGCAGCCTGGGCCAGGGCCTGACAGCCCTTTCCGTGAAGAAGTTTTTCCTAATATCCAA